GTTGTTTATGCATTGATGCAAAGTTTAAAAAGTTTAATGACATTTGCAGTAAAGTAATATGTAAGTCACAAGGGGCAAATCTGGAGGAACTGTGATAAAGTGACATATAGTAAAGTTATATTTTTTTTTTCTCTAAATCACTCAATCAGTCTCTCTCCTTCCCACATCCCATGGCTGTGCTCTGAGAGACCGTGCCAGCATACTTTGACCATAAACAGGCATGAGAGAGGGCTGAATTCTGAGCAATGCTCAAACCTAACATTTACAATGGATGCACATGTGCGTACACACAAAGATATACACCAGAAAAATTAGTGATTTCAGTCGAGAAGAGTTTGAAATGCCTTTCAGAAAATAATACTGTAAAACAACATGTTCCCCAGGCAGCTCAGACCCTGTTTGAGAGACTATTTACTTTTAGTTTTTAAGGACACATTGCAGTGTGATGTACAATTTAACATTTACCAAAAACCACAGCACACACACTTTGGTACACCAATGCTGACCCAGTGTTGCTACCAAGATGGGCTCCGTGCAGCAGCTGTGTCTTTATCCTTATAACCGAAGACATGTGTGTTATGTTAAGGCAGACAGGAACCTTAGGTAATATACTGGGGACAGGCGAGCACTAAGCGAAAGTAAGCAAGGATAAATATGTAGACAAGTGGTGGATGAGGAAAGGTAATCTACATGGAAATGTAAGTCAAGAAGTAAAAGAAGTGAAGAAAAAGAGAAGCAGAGGGAAAGAAAAGGCTGATCTCATACCTCAGAGGAGTAAAGTAAATGTGGATAAGAGAAGATGGAGATTAGAAGAGAGGGAGGGGGAATAAGGAGAGGGTAACTCAAAATCCCTACTGCTGCCCTCAGGCAACAGCACAAACAATATCTGTAAGTGTATCTGCGTGTAAAAGTGTTGAGGTTGTTCACGTGTGAACCGTTAGGATGTACCTTACAATCGGAAGAGGAACAGGAAAGGAGGGGGCTTCAGTGGAACAGTAGAAGTATATTTGTCAGGAAATGACATTTTTTGACATGCAGAGTTTGTGACATGAGATGCCCTCTGGTTGTGTGTGTACTGTGCGTGTGCATGTTCATTTGACACCGGTTAAGGGGTTGAGGGAGCAGGCGTGGTTGTTTCTGGGCTCCGGCCTGCATTTGTTTCATCTCAGGAAACAGCATTTGGTTCTCAGACATGCTGAAAATGTCCCTGATCAATAACAGATCTTGCTTTTGAAGATAAATAAAATGTTCCCCCCAATCACCATTCCCCATCATCAATTCTGTCACATATAGATATAATTTAGATTTAGGGTTTTTTAAATTTGATTGCAAACCTTGAACTGAGAGAAAAGACTTTCAGAATGAAGACTAACCCATTTGCCAAACATTTGCAAAAACACTTTGCCTGGGTTGCAAGAGTCCAATATAGAGCAGGAGAGAGCTGCTAACGTTAGCCCAAACTGTGACAGCATCCAGCTACCACACAGTTGGGAAATATAACAGCGGATACGCTGGTCTTTTCTTTTCATTTTATATGATAATGATATGCTTCTTGGCCTTAGTATTAGAGAATTGGTCTCAAGCCTCATTCACACCACTTCAACATGTGGAGAAACCATTGCCATGACATAACCGTGTCTTTAACTTAGCTGTATTCACCACTATGTCCTCAGCTGGTCGCTAACTTTGCTGCTTGATGCTGGTGCTGGACAGGTGGCATACAGGGAGTTCTTCAGCGCTTTTAATATTTTAACAATTTTAACTTTTAACAGCTACTTGCTGCAACTGGAATCAAGGTTGATGTGGGCAGTGAGTGAGAGCGAACAGTAAAGTTGTTGGCCATCAATCTAAAACAATGAGCTGAGGGAACTGCAGAGTAAATGTGTGTCTGTGAGTTTGTCACTATCTATCTATTGTTATAAGTCCAGTGTGTAACATTTAGAGAAATTGAATATAATATGCATAACTATGGTTTCATTAGTGTATAATCACCTTAATACAGGAATACCTATGTATTTGTTGCCTTAGAATGAGACATTTATACCTACAGATGCCGCAGGCCGCCTGCCATGGAGTCACCATGTCGAACCGCCAGGTTTCTACAGTAACCCAGAAGGGACAAACCAAACACTGGCACTAGAGTTGCCGTTTTTTGTTTGTTTTGCACCCACCATAGTTTCTTCTTGCCACTTTAAAGGGGAAAGTGAAGCGAGAGAGATGCAATCTGCAACTATACTGCTAGGTAACACTGACCTTTAATACAAAAATGTTGACTAGTGCAGCTATTAAAGTAAATTGATTTTGTCACTTGACATTTTTTCCTCTATCTTGACCCTAAGCATGACAGTCTTCAGGGTAATTATGTCTGAACTTCATCAACATACAAGGACCTTTTTGTTCTACAGCTCATATACTTCATAAACAACAGGTTTCCTTACAGTGGACATAAACACGTGTCATTCCCCATTAGTTTCTCTCCCAGTTAAAACAACTGATCATGTGCTGGTTGTCATTCAATGACACAGCCCACCCACTCTCACGATGTGTTTGGTTTGTGAGGATTGTACTCTGGCCATCGTGAGATGGCGTGTGGGCAGGGTGGAAACATCTGGACATGAAATGAAGCTCGGACACAAACTGTCAAAAAGCCAACCACGATCCGCCTGCCAGTAAAACTAGGATGGATATCCATTAGATATACTAGCTCTGGGAATCTGGAAACATGGAAACACACACACAAAAGAAAGGCTGAGGGTAGAAAACAGAGGGAAATGCAGGGTGTTCACTATGTTTTATAAGTTTCCTTAATTTCACACATTTTACAGATTCAATAAATTCCAATCTGAACCAAATCTGTGTGACACTTTGCCTCAGTCTCACATAACCTCCACCATTGGTTCAGTCATCATGTGCATGACAAACAGTATAAAATATGTTTCCTAGTCTCCTGGAGTCTTCTCACAGGGGAGCATACAGTACATCCCCCATGAGGCAGTGCCCTCCACCCCTCTATCAACCCTACAATGCACTCCAATGACTAATCTTAGGCACCTCAGGGAGCCTAATCGAAGACAGCTATGAGTCCATAAACAACTAATGTTATAGTTTAGTCACCAAGCCTGGATTCCAAGTCCTAAATCTTGAATATTTAATTCAACATTCAAGTCCAAGAAACCTCACAAAAAGAAAGTAATCTGTTCTGGAAATAAGATTAGTAAAAAGAGCATTAAGACCTTTTGCTACATTTCAACTAATAGTTGTGGTCTTGTTCACAGTTTATGGGGAGACTTGAACATAACAGTGCAACACATTTGCCCTTGAGCACAAGCTCCAACATCAGCATGCTAACATATTCACAATGAAATAGTCACTCCCTCTTCAAAGGTCGATCTCTCGCAAGTCCACTTGAGTATTCAACTCAACACTTCAAAGTCAATAAGGTCTTGTTAAACCACTAACAGGACACACACAAGACTTTGCAGGAGATGGGTGCATCACACACGGACACATCCAAATACATTTTTATTTTATTGTTTATTTGTATGTAGTAACAAGTATGTAGCATAAACAAATGCCACACACCACAACATTTATAGCCTAAGCTAATTTGCGATGCCGTCCCTAGATGGGCCTTTAAAATAGATCAAACTCAACAAATACACAAGAGACAGCGCAAAACACACTCAGCAATAAGTACTGATTTTGGTTCAGTACTGCAGTTTGGCACAGATATAACTAATTCAGGGTGGATCCTCTAATGGATCACATATCTCTTTCCTGAGATACAGTATACAGTATGTGAGATACAAAGTATATGCACAACACACGTAGTCACACACACATAAACACCCATATACACACTTCTCTTTGTCCATACACACAATATTTATGTCAATTAGTAAATGACTCACTCAGCCGGAGTGTGCAACTGTTTCAGCACAAAGATCTTCAAAATGCCTCCATGAGCTCATTAAGGGAGTTCTGGCTTTACAGAGAACTGGGACTGCAGCCAGAAGCATACTGTCATGATCCTGCAACACATTTATCATCTATAGAAACTCTCCACTGCATGAACCCATCCTCCCATACCAAAGCCACATACCTTCTTTCATCCTTATCTTGTTTTATTTTCCTCTCTTCTCTCCGCTCCAATTTGTTTTCAACCTTTAACAATTTATGAAGAAACCCACACAATGATGTCTAATGATTTGTGTTTTTGTGTTTTCCTACTTCTGTTCTCACAGTCTTCAGACATGTGGGGCCCTATTGGGGGGCCTTTTGCTTTTCATCTCTTTGTAACTAATGTTCTTCTCTGTATGTGCTGTAGCATGGAGAACTTCCCTCTCCTGTCAGGGTCAGATATGGGACAGCTACCCTTCAAAGTATGTAATACTTTGAAGGTAACACCATAGACAGTCTCTGTATCCCTGTCCCCTTTATGCTGCACTGATGAAATCCATGAAAGCTTTTCAGAATATATATATATATATGTATATATATATAATATGGCCTAGCGTGCCTTATAGTCTGTAGACTGCACTCAGTAAAGAGGATTCAAATCTGTTGTGAACTGAGTGGAAGTTATATTTTTTAAGTGCATGAACTTATACCTGCGTGCTAACTACACGGCACCACCATCTCAGCCCTCTGCGTTGTTTTAATGCAGGACTGTTTTTGGTCTGAATCCTTGCTAAGAGAACAGCTGTCACCTCAGCAATGAGTCTCATAACTTTTGATGAAAGGTTTATTTAAAGACTACAATGACTACTGAAACAATAATGATTTGATAACTCTGTGGAAAATAAGCGCTGAGCTGTTAAACTTGTAGACGCTGCTTGTTTTGTTCGGGTTTTAAAGAGCAACGTACTACTGAATATAACAGAATCATCGCTCAACTTCAGTGTTATGAACAGCTCATTGATGTATGTAGTGAAGTGCAGTTGAACAGCAATTCAATTGTTTGACTTCAGAAAAAGGTATATCGTCAGCGAAAACAAATCTTTGATTGGGCTGACATATGTAATTTTATTGAATGGATATGTTATCGGTGAGTATTATAACATGCAACCATTGGACATACAAATACAAAAAACAACCATATGGGGAAAATAAAAGTGCAAGAAACGAGAAAGGAGCAAGAATAAATCTCACATTAAAACAGAGGATAGCGCATACTGCTCACCATAACATCCAAGTATGCTTCACATATGCTTAACTTATTATTTTAAACTTTGATGACTGCTGCGTGATGAGTTACAAGGGCCGAGGTCTTGTTCAGGCTGTGGGGTTTTGATGTTCAAGTGCTGCTGTTGGCTACACTGTTCATCAGATCATGAACTGGGAGCCAGAGAGATAATGAGAGTCTTTCCAGATGTTGGTCTCTCCACCGTTAGTGGTCCTCCGTTTGCACTGGCAGCAGCGCCTGTACTGTGCAAGCTTATCTACCAGGAGCTGACCAGCAGACCTGACCACAGGGAGACAGAACAAAGCACGGAAGGATGAATTAATGAGCAGGAAAAAACATTTTGTCCTGCATTAATGATGTGGGCCATGATTGATTTTCTAGGTACAGTACATCACAATCAGATATTGTAGCAGGTTTGACAAGCAATGGGTCTATACCACTTTTTCATGTCCAATACCGATACCCAAACCTGAAGTATCTGCTGATACCAAATTGATCTTTTCCCTCTCATAAATGACAAAGCTGTTAATAATTTGTATGGATGCACTTTGGTTAACCTTGCCATCTAAAAAAAACGTCATATTCAAACTTTGAAACAAATATTCTACTTCCTCGAAGGAACAAATACATAGCCCAATGTTTAGTTGAGACTTTATGTAATAATTAAAGCTAATAGATCTTTTTTCCAATATCTACTGAATCAGCATATCCCTAGTTTTGACATTCTAATGATAACATTTTGATGTTTAATTACAGTGCTGTAGAAAAGTTCAGTGAATGTTTAACCAACTTATGAATATATGAATAAATGTAAATGCTCGGGTGAAAGCTGATGGAGGCTCAAGGTGATCCTACATCCACACACCTCAGGAAGCGCCTCTCCTCTTCCTCTCGTTGGTGTTTGAGCTTCGCACTGCGACTCCACTCATCCTCAAGTGACTTACTGAGGTCCCTCCTCTTCTCAAAGCGATTTATGCGGTCCAACATAAATCTGGGAAGGAAACACACCAGGGAGACATTGTTTTCAAAGAAAAAACATGTTTTGGATTAAGGCTGCTGCCTTTTTCTCCACATCTTCATTGTTATCTATTTCTTTCACCCCCTCCCCCGTCTATCACTCACTCCATTTTGTTCAGTTTGAGAATTTCTCTCTCTTTCTCCAGCTGTTTTTGGCGGTTGTGCTGTTCTTCCTTCTTCCTCTGGGTGGCAGCACTGAAATTTACCTGGAAGAGCTGCAGTATATAGAATAACATGACACCAACTTTAAAGTGTAGAAAGTGTAGAATATTTGTGGGCCTGTTAATAAGATTGTATTTACAAAGCATAATATGATGCATTTTTAAAGTTCAAACTATCCTACTGTATATAAAGTTTACAATGAGCATGTTAATGCCTCAATTATATTAATCTCAATTCTTTAATACTTAATAATATAACACTGTAAAAGGGGTGAATTTTTATACATTTATAATAATATTACTTTAAAAATGACCTTTACTTCTTACTTGTGTATTGTGTAGTGTATTTTTACACTGTAGTATTACTACTTTTTACTACTAAGCAAAGTATCTGAGTACTTGTTCCACCACTGCAAAACAAAACAAAAAAACAATGCAGAGACTTTTAATATACTTAAACAACTATGACTATAGTTATTTCTGCCATCTGCATGAGGCCACACTGAAAAGTAATGTTTATGGCAGCAATAAGAAACGGGTGACCTTCTGTGCCCTGTCTCGGCTCTCTGCGTTGCTGGCTGCTGTCTCACAGCGGTTGATCCCAGAGTTGTTAGGCTGGCACACTGTAGGGTCTGTGCACTTCTTATCTCCCACCTAAAGCACAGAACAAACTCATTTCAGCTGTGAGGTTACAAAAGAGCAAACATAACACGCCCCTTGGGCCAGATGTAACCTTGCCGTTTGACACACGGTTAAGCACCACAGCTTGTCACTTCCTCTTTTTCCTTCTAACTCGGTGCACACATTGCCCACAATGCAACCTGAGATTCAGTTTTCTTTATGCTACAGTTTGTAGTGGTGGCTTATTTAGCTCTAACTGCCTCAAGCTGAGTTAAGAAGTGGGATACATGCTTGTCCATTACTGAGGCTATTTTTTACTTTTTGTTGTTATTCAGATACATTTTAACTATTTTATTCTAAGCTACCAGAACAGGTTCAGTTAAAGCTCTATAATGTAACTTGTCTACCTTAAAATAACAGCTTCAAAATCATTTTGATGCTACACTGACTTGTAGGGTAAATGGTACCTTTGTCATTCCCAGAGTAATTTTACTCACTTCTCGCCCTACTGGTGATCATTGCTTGTCCTCACCTGCTTTATAATATATTTTCAACATCCTCATATGCAAAATATAATTTCTTGCCTGAGTGTCCAGAGCCCTCTTGTAATGCTTAGTTCTCTCGTGTTTCTGCTGAAGCTGCTGAGCCTTCTGCGAAGCTATCCTAAAACGCAAACATAAAAACCAGTTGACACACTATTTATCACAACGGATTATTTGAGCAGTACCACCAGGCTGTTACAGACTCACTCCTGGACCAGCTGGACCTGGTCGAGACGCTCCATGAGTAGACAGTTCTGCTGGTCTCGAGCCTCGTGTTGCCGCCGGCTCTCTATCTGGCTCTGAAGCTCGTTCATGTAACGATGCTGCTGAATGCTCCGGACAGGAGTGAGAGGCCGAGCCGGAAAGATGAATGAAGTCTAAACACAAGCAGGCCAGAGAAGACACTTAATTTTAAAAGCCACTGAACTAAAACGCTGCAGTGAGTGACAAGAGCTGTGTGATAATCATTTTAAAGTAATAATCCTTAAGATTTTCATGAACTCAAACCCTATTTCTGATTCTATTTATGAGCATTTTACCTCTCTGTATAGTAGTTTTCAGTAGCCTCACAGTTCATAACAGTTTGAAATTTAATATTAGAACAGAAAGCAGAAACCACAGTGAGCTGTTAGCAGGCACGCCTCTCCTCTTCCCTGCTGTTGTGTAGAAAACAATTTCTGCTGTATAGCATGAAATAAAAAATCTTAAGGATTACGCCTTTAATGTCGAGGTTCTACTCACAGGGAAGAGAGAACTGTAAGTCTTCTCTTTCTTGTCGGACATTTGCAGGTTTAATGAAGCAATTTGCTTTGCATGCTCACGCTGCTCATTCAGCTTTGCCTGCCATATGAACACACAAAAACACGCCTTTTGAAAAAGAGAAGACATTAAGATCATAACATATCAGCCTCACAATGGTAAAAAATTAAGGGCGGTTTCTTTGGCTGCTTAATCGATTTTTAGGGACATTGTAATCTGTTTTAGAGGCCGTTTTATACAACCATGATATAATATTGGCAAAAACTACGTGCACTTAAAGTTGTTTCATTTGGAATTATGATATCCCACATGTTCCACACTTATTTCACAGGGCTGTAAAGAGGAGGAAAAGAAAATCTCAGCTTTTTTTCTATTCCGTTTTTATTTGAATAACTAGTAGTTGCAGTTTTCACTTCTTCTTAATATAATGCCCGACTTTTGCCTTTGCGGAATAAACAGTTCCTACATCCTCAGTGTGGTGTGTTGTTTTTTTCTTGGCTTGAAACCACAATCCCTAGAGCACTTTTAAATCCCTTGCAAACTGCAGCAGACAGTATGCAACACGTATTACGGCCATACATCTATTTGTTTGAGTATTTTACTTTATTTTTAAATATTTTTACAGCACCAAAGCCCTTGCACTTTTACCAGCACAATCATAGTTTCAGCTACACTAGCAGCGTTAATGTTGGTACATCCACCACTTTGGCCCAGACTGCAGTATCATGACAACTAATGGACTGCTATTTGATTCAGACATTCATGTTCCCCTCAGAATCAACTGTAATAACGTCGGTGATCCCTTGACTTTTCATCTAGCACCATCATCAGGTCAAAATGTACCTAACCAAAGTATGACCACATGACTGCAAAACTAATAACATACCTTGTTTTTGTGTTGATTACCAACTGTCAGTATGCTAACAAGCTAATATGGTGTCCACAGTAATTATTATACCTGCTAAACATGGAGAGGCATTGTGAGTCGGGGCTGTAGAGTCTGTCTCCAGACTGTACACGAGGCAAATTTTAGAGGTGGCACGATTTTATACAAAGTAAATGGAAAGATGATGGCGAGAGGCCGTGAATTGATGAGATGATGATGAATCTGACTGCACAAGTTGAAAGTAACAGGGAAAAGAGAAAAAAGGAGAGAGACTGGAGGGAAATTACAAAGAGAACAGTAGTCCCTGGTGAGTTTGGAGATCAGGCTGAGCTGCACAAAAACACACAGAGACACACTCCCGCTGACACAGTTGGTACGTCCATTTCTAGCTAACTTACAGCCAATGTCTGTGCTGTCGGTAGATTGGATGTTTGGGATGAATCAACAAACAATCCGCAACTTTTCAACTTTTTAGCAAACAAATTTGCTGAAAAGTTGTATATAAATACAAATACAAGCACATGAACACACCTGTTCTTTGTCCATGTACTGCTTGTCTCTCTGTTGTTCTTTAAGCAGTAAGAGTTTTTCCTGAGCTTTCTCCTCTGCCTGCTGCTGCTCTCTGAGGTAAACTGGAACATTTCTTTGAGCCCGCTGCATACACAGGTAGCACAGCTCCTATGATGACAAGGCCACAGGAAACTGACAATTATCACTGTAATTCATTAGTAATGTAAAGATATAATTGTTTTCCTCACAGGCTTTTAAATGTAAATATTTTGTAGATGCAATTTTTTTGTTGTTCATATTATTTTCAGATTTCGGAACATCATCCTTACAGCTGCCTTGACAGACACCTGAGCTCCAAAAGCAATAAAGGTTTACATCTAGCATTGTGTTGTCAAGCTCTGAGTTATGTTCTAAACTATCCTATGCTGGAGCCTATCAGAGCACACACACTTGTTGAGGGGTGGGGTACACCCACGGTAATATTATTATATTGATAGATCAATATCAATAAAATCTAATTTCTTATCAATAACATCTAATTTCCCAGCCACTCCACCAAGAAAATAAAGGCACCTTGAACCCTCACCTTGGATTTTAAGAGACAACTGTAAAAGTCAGATTAGATCTACATTCACACACCTACAGTACACACGTATATATACACCTACCTGTCCCGCCCGGGCGTGGCCAGAGCAGCTAATGTTCACAAGAGGTTGCTCCAGTTTGGGAGAGACCTCTGGTGGAGAGACTGAGGTCTCAGGCCTGGGAGTAGAAACAGATTATTTAAGAATTTCCCTTGGGATAAATAAAGTATCTATCTATCATATAAAGGGAACTACTCGTAAATTGTGGTGTTATTATTGTAACCTATTATTAAGTGGATTTAACCAGTGTGATTTCCTTATGCATAAGAAATTTTTTAAATGTTATAAAGGTTATTATATTACACATTATTTATAAGATTCTTCCTAAAGCTCACTCCTTGTTGTTTAGGTTGTTTACTAGAACCAGAAAAAGTATGTACTCAAGAACATTTTCATATAAACCGAATAAATAAGCTTGTTATAAGTGTTTTAATTTATACCAATTTGGGGGACCATAACTTTTGAATTAAAATAGAAAAATTAACTTCATCACAGTGGGTCAATCACAAGTTTTTGTGAACAGCTGTTGTATACATATATTTTTGCATGTGTGTTTTAGGCGTGTAGAGGGTTTCTAAGAACAACAACAGTGAGTGGCCTAATTATAAACTGAAAAAAGAAAGTACATTTGTTGTGACAATGTGTGTGTGTGTGTGTGTGTGTGTGTGTGTGTGTGTGTGTGTGTGTGTGTGTGTGTGTGTGTGTGTGTGTGTGTGTGTGTGTGTGTGTGTGTGTGTGTGTGTGTGTGTGAATGCTGACAGTGCAGAGAGGTGATGACAGAGGAGGAATCTGTCCCACAGGTAGTTGTGCATCATTGATGGAGCTGGAATCCGCCTCTGGGCAGTAACAATATAAGACCACCACTGAGCTCTCAGCTCTCAGGGACTCATCTACCTGAAAACAACAGCTCTGTGCACTGCACACTGAACCACCCCATAGAGTGTGTGTGGTTGTCTTTCTGTGAGCTTTTGTGTCTTTGTGTGTGTAGTACTTCTCTTCTTCAGCTTTCACAGTGACGGGCTGCGGTGTCTGAAGGGATTTAGTTTCTCTCTGTTGGGGAACTTCTGTAGAGACACACAACACTCTGAGTAGGTCCACTTTCCCTAAACATAACTGAATTTATCTTCAGTCTATCATTATTGATTCTGTCATTCTGCTCTTTAGTTATTCTTTCTATGCTGTATCTCAATCTCTGTTACACCCTGTTGATTCTGTCATTCTGTTTTTTAATAGATATGGGTTTAGAATTAGCAAGCTCCAAGTTGAAGTTGGTACAATGCCATGACTCATTAATCAAAGTGTCTTAAGTGCTCCACCCCAAAATGCTGGAGCCACAGAGCACCTTAAAGGAATAGTTCGACACTTTGGGTTCGACTACTCTCATGACTGCGCAACAAATATGAAGCTTTTAGCAAGGAAATGGTAATCTTAGCTTAGCATAAAGACTGGAAGCTGGAAAACAGCTAGCATGTATGTTGAATTGGACATATAACTAAAATTAAGGTGTTAATCAGAAGCCCCCTAGTCTATGCTAAACTAAGCTAGTCTAATCAGCATTTGGCTGTAGCTTCCTATTTAAAGGAGAGAGACAAGAGTCAGTAAAGAAAGTAAATAAGCCTTTTTTCCCAAAATGTCAACAATAACTACTCCTCCAAACAGCAATTTTTGCACATTGTACATAGGATAAATGATAATTAACATAATTTCCACCATGCTGGGTTTATTACAGCTACTGCAGCACCAGCTCATCCTCACAGTGAGGAATGCATTTTTTTTTTCTTTTGCAGCAAATTGATATTGATTTGAAAGGATTTGGAATACTTAATTTAGACTCATTAAAGTGCTATCAAATCCCAAATTGTCAGCCTTGTGCAAAATAAACTCTTTCACCTCCTGCATTCCTCTGGTCTGGAGCTGGTGACAAGCTCCATAGATCTTTGTCACCAGCTTTGTTGTCTGTTTGAGGGGAGCAGACAGTTGGCAGGGTGATGGGGTTGGCAGTTTGTGGCCTCTGAAGCCTGGACAGTCCACCAGACAGTAAAGAGACACTGCTCCCAGGTCTCTGGAGGGACAAAAGTACCAGTGATCTGTGTGAGTACATATACTGTACATTATACTGTAACACAAACACACATGCAATACTTTATACTCACATTGTTAAAGGCTAACAGCAGCCTACCGGTTCCATCCATGGTATTAATAAAATCTCTGTTGAACTTCATCCGCGCCTTTGAATAACATCAGAAGAGATTAAACAAGGAAAAACAAGTGCCCAAATTCCACAACAATGTGATAATCACAGCATAGGAAATACCGTATGAGCCACCTTGTTGTTCTTAAAGGACAGAACTCCAATTCCCTGGAAGGCGAGGAACACATTTTGTTCAGAGGCCAAAGCTCTGAAAAGGACCAGAAGAGTTTCTCTAATGCAGCCCTCCACTACATCTCGACTGAAAGGAGTCTCTTGTGACACAGCGGCAAAGTTCAGTTGCACCACTGGTAGGTGTGTTGCTGCAAGGGACACACACACACACCCACACACACAAATCCTTATTGTTCTTTTGTTAATGTGTCAAAAACAATGATTTGATCCACCCCACTGTCCAAATCCAAATCTTACCTATCTCTTATTTGTCTCTATGTTTTTGATTAAAGCCCCTGAAAACTTGGCTTCAATTCTTAATTCTCTGTAACTTTAAATAAAAAACACCTTTAGTTATTATTTATTAAGAGGTTAACACTGAAAAACCCATTTCATCTGTTTGTTTTGGTCTGATTGACAACAACCAAGCAAACTGTCATGAGATTATGATTCAACTATGATTTCACCTTTTTCTAACTGAACCCCGCCCACTTCAAACCAGTGAGGAAAACACTGGAAAAAAATAAATCTCTTATGTGAAATAACCACATGACTGGTGGAAAACAGTGTGACAACATTAGCTCCTTGCACTCATAGCAAGCAGCTGATTGAAAGAATATGTTTTCAGGGCTTTTAATACATATACTTTATCCATGTGGTGGCACTCTGTGTCTTTACTGTGCTGATGTAAAAACAATAAGTTTGTAATGAAGTAAATCCTCAATAGCCGGTAACTCCCTTTAAAAAAAAATCAACAAGTTAAGAAGATCAATTCTTATTGCCTTGACTTAACAATCCTGTCTTGCTCTACATAATAATTAAAGGAAAAGTTAGACATTTTGGAGAAATGTGCTTGCAGAGATGTGAGAAGATTGATAGCACTCTCCTCAGTGAGAAAGGCATCCATCTTCCCGCCTGTAGTATATTTCCCAAAATGTTAAAAGCTTGAAGACCGCTATTGGCCATGATGTCATTAATAGAAATGACGAAGCATTTCACACATTTAAACTATGAATTACCAATTCTTCAGCACACACTATAATATACTGCACAGCATTTCAAATTGTTATATATTATGATATTGTACTACAGCATATCACAAACATACACTCATATATTAAAGATGTGCTTACCTGCAGCAAGTGGCCTGACCTGCTTTAAACCGAGAGACTGGACTAGTTTCCCAGCAAGGAGAAAGATGGGTCTTTGGATCACCATGAACTTGTTTCCTATGTCCAACTTCTGCTGAGAAAAGGTGAAGGTCCCCAGTCCTACCAGATGGACCCCCTATTACAATCAAATGACTCTATCAGTTTCAGATCGATAGACAGATAAATAGATAGATAGGCAGGCAGGCTAACCTTCTGTAATGTCATCTGACGTTCAGTGTAGGCGGATACATCAGCCCAGATACAGGTAATATCTGAAAAGCAGTTCAGAGTTTGGTGGTATGACACACTGCGCACTTTATTTGCAGTATAGGCCAAATATAATATAAAGTAAAAGCAAAAAAAAAGAGATAATGATACAAGTTTTCTATCCGACCGTTTTCAGAGAGCTGGGAGAGGGTCGGTAAAGTCCGTCTGTCCGCTTCTGCCGCCAGCCGCAGTATGTCAGTCATCTTTAATAAACCCCAAATCCTCCCAGAATGAAGCTTAAACGTTAAAGTAATGTGTTTCTGCTGCCTGGTTGCCAGACATCAAGACGAGGTTGCCATTAGCAATACCCCCGCAGGGCAAGCGTCGGCGCCTCTCTCTCAGTGCGGCTGACACAAAACTACAACAGAGCAGGAGTTCGAGTTTCATCTTGTGGGCTAGTTGTCATTATTATAATGGAGAGCACAAAGCCACAAAGAAGCCAATAATTAAACTATATTCAGGAGGCAACATGCTCTGAGCATAGTCAACACAAGTCTGCTTTCTTAATAATAATTCCAAACAATTCCGACTGCTTTTGCACATAAATTGTGTGTCATTATAAAGAGTAAAAACAGTTAGAATAATGACTGCTGTTCTGGAAATAATCCGTAATATTGTCTACAGTGATGCATAATAATTACATAACAATTATCCAGTAATTCATAAGAAAACGGCAATGACTAGATTCCAGTTTTGCACACTTCACCGCAGACTGCGGTTGGTGGTACTCTGGCGTCAAATTACGACGTTGGTGGTATTCGGGCGTCAAATTACGACGTTGTCGTAACTTGAGTGTACATAATACAATCTGCACCAAACTTCACATGATTGTGACATCTATCACATGCCAATAATCAGTCACAGTGCCACCTATTGGCAACAGGAAGTAAGCCTCGTGTGACAATTGTTTATATTTAGCCTACATGACATTTTCATGGTGTGCTTTATACTTGATGTGCTGGCACATAACGTTTAATTAATGGACATTTTTTTAGCCCCATATGGGGAACACAGGACGTGACTTCGCTCAGTGTCACTAAACACATAAAAGTTCTCGACTACATTGACCCACCTCCAGTAACGTCCAGATTGAGAGGGCCCGTCCATCACCGCTTGCAGCTTTAATCATTTCTTTCTTTCTTTCTTTTTTATTTTAAACATTTTGAGGCTGTGGGTTGGACAAAACAAACATTGTGAAGTTGTCCATTGGGCTCTGGGTAATCATGATGGCATTTATCACTATCATTTATAACTTTTTACAACCCGATCAATAAATCGATGAATTGAGAAAATAATCAGCACATTTATGCTTAATGAAATATTCATTAGTTGCAGTACCATGTGAAGTTCAAAATGAGCTCCACATCAACCAAGTACAGTGCTTTTACATGAATGCATCAGTAATAATAATTGAATGAAATAATATATAATAGTCTTTTTCTGCACTGAGTGAGTGCTTTATTTTATACCCTGGCATCGCCACACTAATACTCAAATGCCAGCACAAATAAAACATGAACTTGGCAGATTTGCCTGGTTCCCAGGATGCTCATTTTAAGCCTTTAATGGGTGCGCTTTATTGGTATCCAGCAGTGAGATTGGAACTAACCTCAAAACCCTTAAAAAAAAAAAACGATTTAACTGTCAACTGCATGAATAAAAGAAAAGAACACACAAGCCCATCAAAGCAGTGGTTGTTCCTGTGCTCTACAAACTAGTCAAAGAGGGCTCCACCCGTCTCGATTGGATTGTAAGTCCAAAGTACCTGCAGTTTCATTTCAATGAAAAACTGAAAATGAAAAGCAATTTGAATCCCAATTTCCATATGGATAAAAAAAAATAGCTCATTAACTTACATTACATTGATGTGTTTGTACTCTTAAATGTTCAATAATGTGAACTGTTCCCAGTAAGTAAGTAGTAAGTAAAAAAAATAAAAGTACAATTACATGTTTATGTTATACATAACTGCAGTGAATTGTGGGTGACACACCTCTGGCACTTGTTGTTGACTGTAAGACACTTTCTTGTTTTTTTTACAAAAGGAACCTGTTCTTCTGGATCCTTGACCTATAAATTTAAGCCCTTATATAATTTAAAGGAGTGAGCTGCATAACAATTCAGCTCCCTTACATTGGTCATGAACGGGGTATTTAGCTATAAAGACCGAAACCAGGTTTTCTACCACGCTTTAAACATGTTGCGCTATACGCAAATGGAAATGGATGGAAAAGATAAGAGTCAGTAGGATACTATGTGTACTGGAACAGAGAGGGTTACTCAGTCATATTTAGAGTGGATTTCGGAAAGGACGATGAACAATAGATTATAGTTAGGGCTATGACCAAAATGATGTATTATCAAATTAAGTAAAATTGGTATTGGATAACCGAAGTCATAAACTGGGAGCTCAGTCCTTACATCAGCAGGGGCTAGCTCAAATGGTCTTTCACTTTCCCTTTTCGAAATTTGAAAACATTTATTTTTTTCTGTGTCTATGTAAATTGAGTAGGTGGCAACAATATCAGTCTGAAGCAGGATTGGTCAGGAAGAGACTAGTGACATTGTATAGATGAGAGCAGCCATACAGTCACTTGGTGAAACAAGCGCTGTAAAGTGCCTAGTGGTACAGAGTAAAAGCAGAGATCTGTGGCTTTAGGCAAAATCTGTAGAGAGGATAAAAGTGGTAAACTGAGGGACCTGGACAGTCAGTGATGACTGTAACACTTAATGATGTTATTGAGTAAATGAAATGGGCTGTGGATTGAAAAGAATCAGTAAAAAGTTGAACCAAAGTTTTTACTGTGAAAAAATATGGCATAAAACACCCGCTATTAGATATAATAAATAGATAATAGAGTTTAGAGTTTAGTTAGATAAGAGAGAGGTTTGACAGCGTGGAGCAGAGGGCATTTTAACCGTAATAATTCACATAAACTGACCTACCTTCTAATAATGAACCTTCTAAAACAGCATAAAGCAATGTAGGAAGCTAAAACAGACTACTCTCTACTTCATCAGCAGGGGCTAGCTCAAATGGTCTTTCACTTTCCCTTTTCGAAATTTGCTTCAAGACATGCTGCTACACGTCTCTCAAAGATACTTGGATGCGAGACACCATCATGAAGGCGGTGAAAATGCTTGCAGCCCTTTCGTTTCTCCTCCTTACATTACTGACCGGTAAGAACATTTCTTGTGGTGTGTGAAATTAGTATTACAGTGCTTAACGTATAGGGACAGTTGAGTTTCTCATCAAGTTTTAAAGGTTATTCTGATATTCACTCCGCATCAGCGACGTCTTCATCTTCAGGCGCTCGCTCCTTAAGCACATAGGTTTCATTTTCTTTTATGTAGCTATTTTATACTTTCATTTACTTTTTATGTAATACTTTTCAGAGGGATCTTTTGTGCTTCTCACTTCGTCACTGCACTTATTTGATTGATTGATTGATTTTACATTATAAACCAGTGGATTAACCAGTAGTTCTAGCCCTCAGTTTCTTTTCCCTTTGAGGAGTGAAAGACAAAGTAAGGAAAAGTATGAAAGAGAAAAAGAAACTGGAATGAGAAAACCTGTGGAGGAAGCAGGTGAAGAGGTATGAGGAACAAATCAAATGACATAATTATTAATCAATAAATAAATTGAATATTAAATAATGAATTGAGTACAAACAAATGAAAAAATAATACATTTTGGTCAAGGAAAGGGCTATTTCTGTATTTTTACATGTATTTCTTTATGTTTTTCAACATTTATTTATTTCTGTGTCTATGTAAATTGAGTAGGTGGCAACAATATCAGTCTGAAGCAGGATTGGTCAGGAAGAGACTAGTGACATTGTATAGATGAGAGCAGCCATACAGTCACTTGGTGAAACAAGCGCTGTAAAGTGCCTAGTGGTACAGAGTAAAAGCAGAGATCTGTGGCTTTAGGCAAAATCTGTAGAGAGGATAAAAGTGGTAAACTGAGGGACCTGGACAGTCAGTGATGACTGTAACACTTAATGATGTTATTGAGTAAATGAAATGGGCTGTGGATTGAAAAGAATCAGTAAAAAGTTGAACCAAAGTTTTTACTGTGAAAAAATATGGCATAAAACACCCGCTATTAGATATAATAAATAGATAATAGAGTTTAGAGTTTAGTTAGATAAGAGAGAGGTTTGACAGCGTGGAGCAGAGGGCATATTAACCGTAATAATTCACATAAACTGACCTACCTTCTAATAATGAACCTTCTAAAACAGCATAAAGCAACATAGGAAGCTAAAACAGACTACTTTCTACTTCTATCGGCTTATGGTAAAATATCTAATAAAAAACATTCTGCTTCACGACAGCAATGCTATTAGTTTACAGAAATGCACAGGCAACCAAAATTGGGGCAAAAACAGTGTCCTAACAATAGAAACAGCGCCAGATGTCAGAAAATGTGAGACTGAGTCAGACCCTAGTTCTTTATTTTCTTTATAGCAACACTGATCAACAATAACATCACATAGTCCGGCTTTTTCAGATTTTCCGTGTGGACATGCCCTTAGTCTGCTATCTTGGTCAGGCAACCAACAGAGGCTCAAAGAAGTCACTGCACTAAGGGCCTGTCCTCCGAATACGTTTTTCTCAAATCCGGATAAATACTTTATCGTATCGGCCTCGCGTCCAGACGGATACGGCGTTTTCGGGGTGTGAAAGCGGTATTTTTTTGGAAACGTGTCCCAGAGTGGGAAAATCCGAAAACGCTGGATAGCCCGGAGTCGTCTGGACGGCGAAAACGGATTAGCCCCACCTCTCTAGCCTTTAACCTCAGCCGCAGCCGCTAGACGCATCATAACAACAATACAACAATGGCGGACTACTACTACTTGTTTGTAAACAGCGCATGCTCCATGGCTTCTCTTTCGGTTTTAGTGTATTAGTGTGGCGGCGTCACAGCGCCACATACAGGCCTGGCATATGTACTACAGGGTTTTGGGTTGTTTCAGTGAATCCATGTGGACGCAGATATTTCTAGAAACGACGCTGTGTTTACGGAGATTTTTTTCGAAACAACATCGTATTGGGTAAGGCCGCGTATTCGTGTGGACAGTAGGGCTGCTCGATTATGGAAAAAATCATAATCACGATTATTTGGGTCAAAATTGAAATCACGATTATTCAAACGATAATTTTTTTTTAAACTTCAGAAACATGCTACATTTATTGGACATTTGTCAAAAACACTTTGCAAGGAAGTCCTCAGTTCCACTTTTATTTCCCCATAAACATTTGTAAGTCTCCTTTTTACATTGACAGTCATAGTGCACTCTTGCAATCTCTTCAAAAAGTTAAATAAAATAACACACAAAAGATAAGTCATAGAAAAACAATTTGTGTTCTCAAATTTTAGTGCACTGCCACAACATTTGAAATGAGCTGTTACCGCTACGCGTTACCTGTTCCAACGAAAACAACGTGACTGACTCATGTGCAGTGCATGCATGTTGGGGTGGAGAGACGGAAATACGCATGTGCGAAATATACACAGACTGTGGTTGTGTCCCAATTCAGGGGCTGCATCCCTGAAGTGGGAACACAGCTTTTTTCTATACAACGTTGCACAACAGAAAATGAAACAAAATTGTTTTCCCCCGAATTTCTTATTTTTGAGATCGTTTGGCCCCAAAATCGCAATCATGATCAAATTTTGATTAATTGAGCAGCCTTAGTGGACAGGTCCTAACACTGAATCAACATTGAAGCTATAATTGAATCAATGTCACCTTGCTACCTGGGTGCCAATTTTACAGTGACAAGATTTCAGAAAAGTTTTTACACTTGGCCAAGACTTGGTCTTGTAGCTAACCCCCTGTTTCTAGTCTTTGTGCTAAGCTCACTGGCTGCTGGGTAAACTGTAGAGACATGAGAGTGGTGTCAATTTTCATCTCTAACTCTAAGTCAAAAATGTTTAAATATTCCTTCTCCTGCCTAGTCTCCTGCCTTTAGGATTGAAGCCGTTCTCTGATTGGTACATTTCCTTTTCAGTTCATGTAATAATGTTACATTGTAAAATAAACTAAAATTTGTGTCTTTGCAGGTGTGTCTCCCCAGACAGCCAGAAAGATATATGTCAAAACAGGTGAACTGGTGGCGCTACAGTGCCCTCATTACACAGGGAATAAGCATAATGATACCAAACTGATCTGGACCAGTTACACCACCCAGGAGAGGGATCTGACAGCGGAACAGAGGCCAGTGGGCATTCTGGTTCATGGGAGGAGCCTTGTGATTCTCAGTGTTTCTGTTTTCCATCAGGGGAATTACTCATGCTCTCTGGGGTAAAGTATCTACACACATTCCCAAATTGATAAACAGCATTCCTGTATTTGGAAATTTGCAAACAGACATCCCAGAAAACACATTTAAATAGAGGCCTTTCGTTTCTAAGTCTGAGACTGAACAAGGTTATGAAAGTGGCATAAATAGTTCAGAAATGTAATCACATTTTTTGTCTTGAGGAATTATTTTTGCTATAAACTACTAACATCACTGATGAATGATGTTCTACATTAGTTATTTCCATTAACAAAAAGATGTTAATTTGCACTGAACCATTGTACTCGCTGCTTGCCATCATGGTGAGCTACAGTTTTGATGATGTTAGTACTTAGTGGTTCTTTGAGCTAAACGCTAACATCAGAGTGCTAACATGTTAACAATGTAAATGTTAACAGGCTGATTTTTAGCATTTAAGTATACTAACATTTGATTATAGCGCAAAACACAGCACAACTAGAGCTGAGGCTAATGGGAGTGGCATTACTTGCAGCTATTTGGTCATAAACTGAATTTACCTCATGATGACGCGTCACGAAAAGTAAGAGATTACAATAAATGTGAAATCCTCATATTATCTTTTTCTTTTATGACATGACAGGAATGCCAGCAGAAAGTTCTGGTTCACTCTGACCGTGTACAAAACACAGACCAAAGAGTATGAAGAGAAGACCATGTACACTAGGACATGTTACACACAAGAATCCTGCAAATTGCAGTGCCCTCGTGCAAATATCCCTGCTTGGAATATCCAGAATATTACCAGCAAAGGCATTATATGGCACAAGGTATTTAAAAACAGCAGACTTTTGAGTATAAATTAGATTTGATTGTGAAATAAGAATGCATGTACTGTACTTTTTTAAAAGAAATTTATAGAATTTGTTTTTATACATTTGAGGCTAAAACTGGTTTGCATTCACTTCTTTCTAAAAATCCAACTTAATTTTCCATCTTGTAGGAGGGTAAGTCATTCCCAACTGTTTATTTTCCAAGTCTGGAGGAGAAGGACCGTGGTGCCTACACCTGTACCAGATCTTACCTGTATCATGGTCAAACATATAACATGACCTTTATAGTAAAACTTCACGTCAAACCTAACGGTAAGAAAAACACTTTTTGGGATTTATCTTCATGGAAGTCCATATTTTCAGTGTCTTTTTTTTTTTTACACGGAAGATTCTGACCAAGCTGCAAGGATCATTTCACCACTCAAGAGTGAAGTAATTAGTGTGGATTTGGGTGAGCTTCAATATTATATTGTGGATACACAAACTTACAAGCATTCATTATCTTTCCAAATTACTACTTTTAAATCTTGTTTAAACTCTGCTTTTTCTAGGCTCAACAGTGGTGATTGATTGTAAAGCTGTTGTGTATTCAGACTTTGCTGACGTGTTCTGGTTAAGTGGGAAGTCATTTGTAAACTCAAACAACAACTCACGAGTCTTCTACAATTCTTCACGGTAAACACGTCACAAAAGTGTACCTGTTCTTACAACTAATACACATAATGCTATATAAAAAAGCTATATAGTGCAGGGATGTAAGTGTCACAGAAAATGTGAGGTACTATACCAGCAATTAATGATCTCCACTGTTAAGAAAAAGTAGGGGAAGTTGAGGAATTTAAACAATTTATTTTGACCATATAAAACACAGCTCATTAACAAAAATAAAAGACAGGCATTAAATACTTTAAATGGTAAATGGACCTGTACTTGTATAGCGCCTTTCTAGTCTTCCGACCACTCAAAGCGCTTTTACACTACGTGCCACATTCACTCTTTCACACACATTCACTCAGTAATGTGTGAACAGAAACTAACATTCATACACACTCACACACTTCGGGGTTCAGTATCTTGCTCAAGGATACTTCGACATGTGGCACCAGGAGCCGGGGATCGAACCCACAACCTTCCGATTGAGGAACGACCTGCTCTGCCTCTGAGCCACAGGCGGGTTTAAAGGGTTTAAAGTAAAAAAAGCTAAATAAAATGGCTCAAGTCAAATCAATGGCTGAGTGAATGGGTGAATGTGGCATGTAGTGTAAAAGTGCCTTGAGTGGCCGGAAGGTTAGAAAGGCACTATACAAGTACAGTCCATTTACCATGTACAAGCTGCAGGTGAGACAAAGAAGACTGGCTAACAGCCAAGTTCAGCAAGTTGCAGTAAGTAGGAGGTAAACTACTTGAGGACATTGCCATGGATGCCAACCTGGTCCCTAACGCAGTTTGAAAGACAGCAGTGCATTGTATGGCCACATAAACATGCACATAAAATAACTTGTTTTTTTGTCTTCTATTTTTTGCCTTTCCAGGGAATATTATAATGAGGGGACAGAAATTACAGCATCACTAGTCTTCAAAAAAGTATTAGAAGAGGATCTGTTAAAGAATTACACCTGTAAACTGGAAACTGACAACCAACGGCCAAGCTTTGTCACCGTCACCTTGGCCCAAAAAGGTATGCAAGATGGATGGATAGATAGTGCTTTGTCTTTACTGTTGTTGATTTTGTATATGTTTGTTTCCAACAGAACTGTGTTCAATTTACTATCATAATGCTTGAACCGGTTCAGCTCATTATCCTCGGATCCACTTAGTTGCACTTGTTTAACACTACTCCACACGTTTAAGCTACAGGGAAGATTCATTTGGTGTCTGCTACTTTAAATAAATTCAAACTTTTAGAGTTATTTTTAGGATTTTATTTATCCCCCTACAGCTTCTGCTTCGTCCCTGTCCCTGGCTCTCAGCATCGTGGTCAGCGTTGTGGTGATTTGTGTAATAGTAGTTGTTTATATGAAGTTGAAGATGGACATTGCTCTTTTCCTGCGAGACACTATTGGTTGCCGTCGCAGCACCTCAGGTGGGAGTCATTTGTTTGGAAATTTCTTTTGAATAACTTTAGTGTAACAGGTACATGTGTTGCTTGGTAAAAGTAAGCAGCCATGTTGTCTCTATGTGCCTCACTGACAAAGCTGTTGTTGTTTGCTTAGATGGAAAGACCTACGATGCCTTTTTGATGTGTTACAAGAGTGACGCAGAGGCAGGACTAAATGAAGATGACAGAAAATGGCTTGAGAGTGTTTTGGAAGAGAGATTTGGTTACAGTCTGTGTCTTTATGATCATGTTGTCTTACCAGGAAATGGTATGGTATAAATAATAATAATGTAATAATGAAAGAACATATTTAACATGAATATCAATTCATGTAAATATCCATTTACTGCTTAATGTATAATCTGAACTCTGGTTGGTTGCAGATGAAGCGGAGGCAGTGTTAGAATCCATAGAGCAGAGCCGGACAGTGGTTTTGGTTCCCACCTCTTCAGATCCTGGTCCAGGATTTGGCCTGCTGAAAGACATCCATGCAGCCCTTGTGGAGCGGCAGACTCGCATGGTTTTCATCAAAACTGAGACAACAGAAGAGTCAAGATCAGGTTCATTACCAGAGGCCTTACAACTTCTAAGAGAGGCTGGAAACTGTGTCACCTGGAAGGGCATAAGCTCCATACCACCCTCCTCCTCCTTCTGGAAGCAGCTACGCTACCACCTAGCTGCCCCTCAGCATGCACAAAATTAAGCCTTTACCTCAGACAGCTAGCCAAGTTCTTGCATAATGCCGTAACCCGCACAATGTTTTCTATATCATACAGGGTGCTACACTTAATTGGTTAGGGTTATTTGACGTAAAACAGTCCTCTAGAGTGAGCCTTTATAGTGTAACAGTAATGGATACTTTAAATCTGGGGGCTCATGATAATATCGTATGTATCATGTTTTTCTTCTGTGGAATGTTATTGTTGTGGAGGGGGTCTGACCTTCCTGTTTGGGTCTTTCCCTTTTAGGAGGGAAAGCAAGAAGTGTATCACTAATTAACGCCTGATATAGCCCACCAGGTATATAAGCTGAAGGAGTCTGTTTCCTTTTTCTTTTTTCTTTTCTTCTTTATTTTGTTTTAAATTGGTTTAATGTAGCAGGGATGGTGCACATTGATGAAACGTTTCCGTAAATGTGCTAGAGTTAGTCAAGATGCTATTTGACGTCTGTTGTCCCTTGACAGATTTTACGAACAGAATATAAGATTAAAATTACTATGTAATTTAAAGTTAATCAATTATAATCATGCAACAATAATTATTATGTAAAAATGTATTTATTAAAAAATGTATATTTATGTTAATCAAAGCATTATTCTGGACACCTTAATACTTCACGTACTATTAAAAAAAAAAAAAAAAACAGAGGCTCACAACACAAGAGTACATACAAAAACGAGTATTGACATGGACTATGTAAGACAATATTGTGTGTATTATTAGACAGGAACATGAAACATGCAAAGCAGAAACTGAAGTTCTCCAGAACCAAGAGTGGACCATGAAAGATATAACTGAATTGTTAAAAATGGACTTGTAACTTGTAATTTCAATTAATAAATATTTTTTATATTAACAATATGGAATTGATATTCATTAACTTAGTTAACTCAAGAACCTAATCAGCAGGTGACATGATTGTGGCAGTTTATATTTCAGCTTTGATGTTTTCCTGCCACCTGGTGGATGTATAAGGACAGAATATACTGTGTTGCCATAACTGTTAAATGCCCCCAACATCTCCTGACTGGTGCTGTCAGCCTAGCATCCATGACAGCAGTCTGTGATACAGGTGATTGGGATTTTGTTGTATTGATCAGACTTAAAAGTAAAAAGATGAATTTATGGCAACACAGTATATTCTGTGTTTTAAAGAAAATCAATTCCTTGTAGCTGCACTTATTAATTTCCATCCACTAGGTGGCAGGACATTTTCAAATAAGCTGAAATATAAGTTGGTTTGTTTTGTTTAAGTCTGTATGTCTCAACCTTTGTGGCTGTTGTTTTTATTGCTACTGCGGCAGAGAACCAATTGCCCTTCAGGAACAAATAACAGATTGTTTTGATGTGAGTTGCTGAGTTTTTCTCCAAACGTCTGCCCGTTTGATGCTGAGTAGGTAAGTGTACAGTGGGTTTTTAGAGCTTTTTTGCCAACAACAGCAAACAGCTGTTAAAACTTTGAGAATGATGAAGTGAATCAAACCAACAAAAATGCAGGCCACAGCTAAACGATGACATATATGATATGTATATATACATATATATATATATATATATATATGTATATATATATATATATATATACATATCATATATATATATATATATAGGAAAAACAAAGCACATGTGACATTTGTCCGGACAGTGAAGTAGATAGGGGAGACCGGGGCTTGTTGTCACACGGGTAAGTTGTCACATTGCAATTATCTTCTCCTCCAAGGGGCGCAACTAAAAAGTGGAATACTAGTTTTCTTCCTTTACATGGTCAGGTGTCATGTCCTGTCTGAGAAGAGGATAGCACATTGTGAGCTGAGATGAGCACCAAGTAACCATTTTGCACAACCCAAAGTAAAAAATATCAACTTTATATATTTCGTTCAGATAAAAATCAGGTTTTGTTTGGGTTTTTATGAATGGATCTTCCAGTTGTTGTTGGAACTATGTCCACATTTCAGGACTGGTTTAAGTTTGATGATGAACCAATGTTTTCTTTTTTGTAATTCAATTCAATCTGGAATTTTTAGCTTAAGAAAGGTAAAACAGGCATTTGATTCTGAGAGCCATAGCCTACATGCCAGCAGTTCCTAAGGACTTTAATCCAGTGCATGTTGCATAATATGTTATGTTAACGTTTGTTCAATGGCTTTTTCAAGCCAAATGATAAACTGTGCCTTACTTCAATGTTCACTTTCAAGTCAAAAAGAACAACAACAATAATTTTGTCCTTGTTGTATTAGTTGCAAAATCCAGTGTGACATCTTACCCCATATAGTGAGACAACTTACCCGATGGTGGGGCAACATGTCACATGTTCACACTCTCTATTTGATTGCTTATAACTCTGCACTGACACAAGATATGAAAATGACATGAATACAAAATATATACCTGAGACTTTGGTCTTTCATCTGGTACACATTTGTTTTATATATGATGTATTGATTCCAAGAAATATATACAAGTGTAAAAAGTGTACTGCAGACATTGAGTAGAAATGCAAGAAGGTGAATCACCTTGCTGTTCTTAAAGGAAAGCTCCATTGACACACATAAATGTCATGTTATTATGGGGAGTATCAGTTACTTCGTGAAAACAGTTGAATAATGTCTGCTGTGGTTCTGAAAATAACCCATGATGATACCATCAATGATGCTGTCAGTTGCATTATGGTTAAGGTAGCATAGGGTCCTGGGTTTCTTGGAACTAGATCTTTAACTGGGACTAAATAGGATATCTCAGCCTCTACCTGTGTCTTGTGAATTCCCTGACTGCAATACTATATGTCTGGACCACTTTAAAGCAGTGGTTTTGGCTTATCACAACCTAAAATAAAGCAATGTCCTTGCAACCCCTTGTCACTAGTTATCTTTTAACCTGGTCGGTCTTATTATATTATTCTTTTAGCTATTTCAGCATTTCTACTACTACTACTACTACTAGTTACCAGTGTTGGGCTAATTTCTCAAAAAAATAATTTATTACTCATTACTTGTTACTCTTTTCAAAAGTAATATTACTACTTTACTTATTATTCCCTGCCAACAGTAATTAGTCACACTAGTTATATTGCTTTTCTGCCAACCCCCACAACATTTGTAATTCACCCCTTCTCCCCAAAATTCAGACTTATAACTGTTAAAATCCAGTTTTATTTGTTAAAATCAAAGTAATGGGAATATTTCGAGCTGCTGAATGTAAGTGTTTCCATCTTCTAGGCAAGTTTCCTCCACAATTGCAAAACTTAATCCAAGGATGTGATTGGTTTGTTGGATTCCAAAAGCAGTAAATGTAATATTATTTCTAGTATCTAGTATAGTATTATTAGTATTAGTAATTAGTTACACTACAAGTAACTGGGGAAAGTAATAGTATTACTGCCCAACACTGGCAACTCTCTGCTTTTCAGATTAATATTTTATATGTAGAAAATATGATAATTTAAAAAAAACCCAACTAGTTATTAAGATCATCTACACCATGACAGCATTAAGTAGTATTAATTTAACAATTTCATTTATTCTTTAGTATTGCTAGTTTGAATAACTGATATTCTTGATAATAATTATCCTCTTACTGATTGTGTTGAAAGAAATTAGAACATCACCAATCTGAATCTCATTTTCTGTTTTATTTTCTACACATCTCTGTCTAACTTATCTTTCTTGTCAATGAGGACACGAAACTACAAGGTTTTATAAATTAAGGTTGCATATTTCTGTCCTTTGTCATGGAGATTAAAGATCAAAAAGCAAATCATGAAAATAAAGAATCAGTCCAAAAACGGGTGTAATAATAATAATAATAATAATAATTAAAAATATATATAAATACATTGTTTTTATTCAGTTTGGGGTTTTTTTATGCTTCAGGGGGTGTCTAAATTGCAGTGACAACATGACACTCTTCCTTAAGTTTCATTTTTTATCATCACCCAGTGTGGTTTGACGAGATTGGGGAAATGCTCAGCAGAAGCGAATCTGGAGATTTGCATTTGTGACGACGCTCCTGTATGTTTGGTGTGCGGTTCTGCAGGTTATCATGACGGTGAAAGTGCTTCTGGTTATTCTCATTTTCCTCCATACATCATTGACAGGTAAGGGAATGCTCTTAGTGTTGTTAAAGGATGTGAATGCAGTGTTATGTTTGATTTGATTGAATTCTGACATAAAAAAGAGAAACAGGAAGAAGGAAAAAAGAAGCACACCAAAGCAAAAAAAACAACAACTGATTTAATACATAGAACATGGACATACAAATACAAAAAGTTCAAATGAAATGCATAATCAACCATAATTGAAGTCAACACAGCATTATGCATAAGCCTACCAGTGATGGAAGGAAGTAGCCTATTCAAATATTTTACTACATGGAGTAGAAATACTCTCTGTATTTAATAACTTAAACTTCTGCATACCACATTATGTGCATATGTATAACATATACTTACTTATTTCCTTTAATGTACTGACCAGTGGTGACTTCTCCAAATCTGACCCATTTTCCTTCACCCTGAGCTAACTAGACTAAGTAACAGGAAAAAGGATGCGGTTAAGAACCCACATGTGCTTTCATAACCGTTGTATCAAGTGAACTCACACTGTTTCACAAATGACCCTGTAAAAGAAACAAATCTACATCCATACACATACATAACTGAAGGAATTCAGTGGTTGAGCAGGAAACTATTCATCAACATTTGGATTATAAGATTAAAGCCTTTTCAGGCATAAAAAACAAAACACTTCTAGTCCTGTGCCTTTCAAAGTTAAGAAATAGCTTGACATATATGGCACACATCTTTTTAAAAAGACTATAGCAAAATGCATTTGATGTGAATAGTTGTGTTCAAAATGTATGATATGATGGATATGATGACTTAAGATATGGCAAGTGTGTTTTAAGAAACAGCTCTTATTGCAGTAGAGGGGACAGAGTGGTGAGTGATATATGCAACAGAGAATTTCTGTTGTTTTTTAAGGACTCTTTTTAAGGGGCATAATCCTACTGTATGCTTGATTAATCAATTTCTCATATCCACAGACAGATATTTCTCAATCAAAAGAACTGACTGATAGGGAGACCAATTTTAAGGGATTAAGATGAAAACTTGTAGCCAACAACAAAGTGTCCTTCCAGTAGAGTGTCAAAATGAAGTTTCGGGGCGCCCGGTCAGCTCAGTCGGTAGAGCTGGCGACCCAGATTCGAATCCGACCTGCAGCCCTTTGCTTTGTGTCATCCCTTTTCTCTCTACCCCCGTTTCCTGTCAATCTTCAGCTGTCTCTATCAAATAAAGGCATGAAAAGGCCAAAAAAATAACGTTAAAAAAAAGTTTTATACATTAGTATAATGAGTTACTGTAATTTTCTACATCATATAAAGAGTTACTCTGTTTTTTCAGGGCATTAATGCTTTCTGTAAATTCATACAGTAATTTGTTTGATTTTTTTTACAGTGGTGATTTTTATTTCACTACTGTGATTTTCACACTAATTAATTAACTAATTTTTGTACTTTAGTACTTTACAGTAATTGACTGTGCACAAACAGTCAATTACTGTGGCTTTCACAGGGATCCGTTACAGGGAGACATTATATTTCATGACCCCTGTGTCTAAAAAACTTTTTCATTATCATAGATTGATATAAAGCATAGTTTTACACACTAAAATGAACAAACATTTGTGATATTCATTTGCAGGTGTGTCCCTGAGACCCATAGAGCAAGCTGTCTCTCATGTTGTACAGGAAATATGAGACTACAGCCAGGACACAGTTAGATTAACTTAGTTCAGCATAAGCTGGAAACCGTGAGTCTGGCTCTATCAAAAGATAACAAAATATAGCATGTCTAAAGCTCAC